TTCAACTAGACAAAACGGGTTTTAACAAAGACATTCAGTATAAACTAGTTTCAACTAGACAAAACGGGTTTTAACAAAGACATTCAGTATAAACTAGTTTCAACTAGACAAAACGGGTTATAACAAAGACATTCAGTATAAACTAGTTTCAACTAGTTAAAACGCGTTCTAACTAAAAACGGGTTTTGACTGTAACATATACATTACCAAGGAGACTACTTTGAAGGGGATTAGGGTTTTGTACCTCAAAGTCAATAAATTTATTTTTACCGACCAAAAGTCCGATACTTTTTGAACAGACCTTGTATATTATTGTAATTTTATTTTAAAAATTGGCTTTCGGATTTGCACATTAGAAAGAATACGTAGAAAGGCTACAATATCTTTACTATTAGACACGGCTTGAGTGAAGACATTTCAGTCTCTCTATGTATTTTTATTAATATTATTATTATAATTCCATAATAATTAAGAATAATTCTAATATTAATAATCAATTAAGAACAACTATATAATATTCTCGTTACAGAATGTAACTATAGATTATATTGTCGATTTCGAATCATATTCGGCATTTTATATGCAAAACGAACATTAGTGATATAAATATTTTAACTAAGTATTCTGATCTTTCTCTCAACAGAAAACATTGGAAGTAATGAATGTTTAATAGAAAATGGTTAGGAAGCACTTATTGTTTCAATATATCTGGTGACATTTTTCTAACGTTCTGTAAAGCACTTGAAAACCCGCAAGTTCGAGGGAAGCGTGAATGTCCAACGTCATATGAAAAAGAAAGTTCAAGATACTTTCAAATTACTGAATATGCAACCAGCGGCCTCCAGTAAATTCAGAAATTGGTTAAAACACGCAAATGTGCGACCGTAGAACACGTGTGTGCGTGTTTTAAAAAATTGAATTTTCGCACTTCTTACACTCCCGTCGTAAAGAATTGTGGAAGAGATCGATGTAATTTGACAGCAATCGCAAACTCTATTGACAGGTAGCACGGGACCAACTTGCACGCAAAGATCTGACCATAGGATTTACATGTCAAATTTTGAATTCAAATAACTCATTCCATAAATAAAATTTCAAAATTTGTTTTGTCACCACATCGGTCTTGTCGGGATAACAAAGAAATATCAAGCAGATTTCAGAACAATAGAAGGAAATTTTACAATTGGGTCATTATATCATCATATAATAATAATATGAAGCAAAAACAATAAAACGAAAACATGAATGAATTTTAACAACGTTTTGTAAGTTGTACTTCAACCAAAATCACAAAACCACTTTAAAATTTAAATAAATAATTTTATTTTCCGTAATAAGAAATAAGTTAATCTTTTTTATTAGTTACTCGCAAACTCTATCTGGCATTGTTTTAATGAGATTTTTCTTTTTTTCGTTCTTTTCTTCGTTGCGCCAATCATTAGTTAATGCCTTTTCTTAAATGATTCTACTGATGTATATTGCTTATAATTCCTATATACTTTTCTTGATAAGATACCAACATATCTTCGATGAGAGTAATATCAGGGGAACATGTAAACAGTCAATAACATGCACACCATTTGCTAAAATGCAATTTCTAGTTGATTTGAATTATGAGTGGGTTGTTTTATCCTGTCGAAATTAGAAAACTACTTTCCAATTTTTCTATAAATAGCATTATTTGCATATCGCACATGTGGTATTTACTGATCTCCTATAGCAGGGATCTTTAAATGTTTCAGGAAGTTTGCATTACAAATTTTGCACACGCTAAAGGCTTGTCTTTGTAGTTTTTATTTAGTGGCAGAAATTGTTTCATATTCTTATTGTATATATGACTAGATAACTATATACTGTTGATCTTAATGCATTTACGACTAGATGAAGTGTAATTCGCTTCAGACGCATTGTACAATTTTTATTTATCGCGAATTAGTATTTTTGATGGGAATTTAGTTCAGAGTGTCTTCCAGATAGAATTTTGTTGTTTCTTCTTCACTACATTAGTTTAATTTGCTACAAAATGATGAAAACGATTTTTCCTCTCCACAATTAAACCTGTAATTTATCAGGTGCATTCCAGAACTATATTTTATAGAAATTCACTTCTAAAATACAACTATCCTTTATTTTATATTATACAGTGTGCTGTTTTGCATATTATATAAAATTTAACGAGAGAAGCAGATATTTCTTTATCATTTTAGAACAAGAACTATATTTTATAGAAATTCACTTCTAAAATACAACTATCCTTTATTTTATATTATCCAGTGTGCTGTTTTGCATATTATATGAAATTTAACNTTCCGCACTCAATATTGGCCCAACGATTCATCATACAAATACATGACAATATGTGACGTCATCGTTTGAAAATCTCAAAAATTAGGCGTCTTCCCCAGCTTACCATCTTACCCCGAATCACTCTATGTGTTGCAGTCAAACCAGTTTTTAGTTAAGATGCGTTTTAACTAGTTAAAGAAAAGGAATAAAAGTGACTATTGATTACATGTTAATTTAGCTTATGAATATATATATTTTCACTACATTATGTCGTGGTTTATTTATAATTGCAATGAAAAATTCCTATAAACAAATTAAAGAAATTTTACTTTTGAGAAGTAAACTTATTGTTTTTCGGACTTCTAAGAACATTCTAAAATCTTTGCGGCACACCTACGTTTTTTTTTCACGGCACAGCAGTTGAAAATCACTGTCCATACGGAATTTTAAATTCAGGTTTTGTCACGACATCGATCTTGTCTCGTTGTACTTTATATTTTTGCAAAATTCATCTTTAATCGTCGCGTAGTTTCTGGCCCAAAGAAACTAAGAGGTACTTTTTTTTAAAGCTTTCGCTGGAGAGTGTTTCCCTTTTTTCGATAACATTTTATAATTTATTGGACTGTAAACTGACTTATCTACACATCTCGCGCGATACTTGCATTGAGGAACTCTTTCTTTACACTTCAAAACAATTAATTTTCTGATTGGTGTCGGTACTGTCTATTCTTTCTCCATTTTATACAAATTTTGATATGAACTGCTAAAAGTGACTTCCTTTTATATGCAGGAAGCGTGACGCAAGAAAAGATATTAGAAATCTTAGAAATTTGATCTTCGATAACGCTTTCTGATTTACAAAAACCTTTGCTTTCTTTTCGTATTCGTTGAATAAATATGAGATCGAACAATTTAAAATTTATATTAATTTATTGTTTTTGCGTGACGATATAGTAATAAATGCATCGAAATAATTATTTATCATTAACAAGCATTGACTTATTGTTATCAATTTTTATACGGATTTTTTACAAGGAAAATGAATTATATCACAGCAAACAATTTAAAATTTATATTTATATTTTGTTTTTGCGNTAAATCTTTGATATACGATAAATTTTATTTGTAAATTAATAAGATAAATATATTTTTTAAATAAATCAATTTAACTTCTTTTTACCAAGGAAAAAAATGGCTTTGAAAAGAGCCGGTAGTCTGCCAGTTTTAAATAAATCGGCAATTCGGGCCCTTCTCATGAGAAAGAATTCCTGTTTAACTGCATAAAATTGACCGACTTGACAAATTTTTTTTTTCTCTTGGATTGCTTTTTTTAAACTCATTTTTGGGGGTGCCGCAACTCCTAGTTCATCACTTCATTCGTGTCTTTGTTCTCGATTTCTTCTTTTGCTGAATTTTTTCCTTTTGGCCCTCGATTAATTTGATAGAAAAGGAGGCTTCCTTCTTGTTTCTGTTTGATTTCTCATTCCCGATTCGGAAAAGATCGATCGGATCTTCTGTAGAAAAAGCTTTACTTTTGTAAAACTAATAACTAAAGTTAAGTTTGTTGACCTGATTGTTCAAAATGTGTTCATTTATTGTATTTACTTTGTCGAAAATAATAATTGACTCTTAAACATTGTTAGTTTTGAAAAGCTGAAAATTGTAATAGTCTAGTAAATTCTTAACAGATTGTATAGTACATCGAAGAAAAAAAGTTGCTTCACGTTTTCTTAGCTCAACTGTAATTTTCTGAATACTTAGGACCATGCTTAGTTCTGCCATGATCATGCCTCGATTGAATATGTTTAAATGTTTTGTCTTACCGATGTTCAGGCTAAAGGAATCATCTCTCAAGATGAAGATTGTCTGTCGCAGGTGATCGTCAGCGACCAATCAGTCAACATCTCAGGCATTTCAATTTTTCCATGGATGTTGTATTTTTACTCGAAACTCATCGGCAATTTTAATCGGTTACAAAGGATTTGACTTTTACTGCGGGATATTCCAAATAAACGGCAATTTATTACTTCTGATTTAAAATAATTGTCAAATTTGTCACTTACTTTAAAATTTGAAATGAAATATTTTAATGCATTTCAATGCTGTTCTTATACGGATTTTTCATTCAATTTAAAAATTTAGGAATTATTGTGTTGCTGGATTAAGAATCAAATGAAGTTCGTTTAAGAAGCTTATAGCTAAACTATATATTTAAATTGAAAATATAACAACAAATCTCTATCTATGTACAACCCCGCCTGGAATGACATTTTTCCCATCTAAACCTTCAGAAATTTACGTAAACTTGCGTAGATATTAAACGAAGTGCTTCAAATAATTCCTATCGTAAATGGGCAAGTTTATTCCAATAACTTACTACCATAGATTCCATTAGTTTAGAATATATAGCTGTGCAATTCTTGCAACTTTTGGCAACAGACTGCAATGAAGTTCGTTCAGAAAGGAATTTTGAAAAATTTGAATTTCTAAGATTTCTAATATCTTTTCTTGCGTCACTCTTCCTGCATATAAAAGGCAAGTCACTTTTAGCAGGTCATATCAAAATTTGTATAAAATGGAGAAAGATTAGACAGTACCGACACCAATCAGAAAATTAATTGTTTTGAAGTGTAAAGAAAGAGTTCCTCAATATTGAGGAACTCTTTTTTTACACTTCAGGGCAATTAATTTTCGCGCGAGATGTGTAGATAAGTCAGTATACAGTCCAATGAATTATAGAATGTTTACGAGAAAAGGGAAACACTCACCAGGGAAAGCTTTAGGAAGAAAATTACCTCTTAGTTTAATAAAATAAAAATTTAATTACAAATACTAGTTTTATCTTGCTTGCTTGCCATGTCCAATCACCTGGAACAACCATTCTTCACTGCAGTGATGACCTTTCTTTGTAGGCAACAGCTCTGCACAAATGTGTAAAATAGTCTAAAATGTCCACAGGTGACAATCCCAACACAATTAAAAATGTAACATTTTCTTCTAAAAAGGGCTGGCAGAAATTACAATGCAAATGGCAAAATAAAATTACAAATGGCAAGCAAGCAAGATACGATTAGTATTTGTAATGCAATTTTTACTTTATTAAACTGTAATTTCTGCCAGCCCTTTTTTACAAAAAAACGTTATATTTTTAATTGTGTTGGGATTGTCACCTGTGGACATTTTAGACTATTTTACATATTTGTGCAGAGCGGTAGCCTACAAAGAAATGTCATCTCTGCACTGAAGAATAATTGTTCCAGGTGATTGGACATGGCAAGCAAGCAAGATACAACTAGTATTTGTAATGAAATTTTTATTTTATTAAATTGTAATTTCTGCCAGCCCTTTTTAACAAGAAAATGTTACCTCTTAGTTTCTTTGGGCCAGAAATCGTCTGTAGTTAACAAACGCTGATTAGAAGAAAATAGGAAGGCCAGACGAAACAATATTTCTTGTTTAATCATCAGTCCATATAACTATAGAAAATATAGGCAAGAAATCTAACCCGGCGATGAATGCCCTGGGTTTCTGAGACCCAGCGCAAAATTTGCGAAAAAAAAATCCGTATTTTTATTATATTGCACTTCTGAAAAAAAGAGTCCCATGTAGATATTGAAAAGACAGGAAAACTGAATATACCTGTAAGAAGTGCAAAATCTAAATCTGTTTACAGCATTCACATTTTGTTTGTGAATGCCCATAAACATAAATAAATAAAAAATAATCGAACGATTTTTTTATTGTATGTTAAATAAAAGCTTTAAAAACTAATGTAAAAAAACATAATATGCAATCTTTTGTATTAATAAAATTTTTATAAGTATATTTGCTTTTTGTTATTCTTAATATACAGTTTCAAATTTTTTGCATAAAAATGTAACGTAGTTAGCTGTGAAATCAGAAGGATTAGAATATATATACTGTATTGATAGTTCTTCGGAAATATCTACACGCATCAAATCGTAAACATTTTCAAACACGAACTTGTAATTTTCAGCACGACAACGCCTCTCTGCTCTATGCTAGGAAAAGCGAATTCTTGCTGCATTCTTTAATCATATAAGTGTAATCCCCTGACCAGGATTAACGTGGGCATGCCTTCTACAGAAAAAGTTTGAAGAGTTTTCGTTGCCTAGAGACTTTTATTTGGCATTAAATAGATACATTATTCAATACAAAAACATATTTTTACAAACAATATGATTTTATTTAGTGATGACAATGTCAATCCGTTAACATAAATGCCAAAGATATACATGCACAATTTTATTTCTGTCTGTCTTTTGTATAATCTGGGCTTATTGGAGAGACTGGTTAGTGGAACAATCACCACTGCATTTCAAACTGTCCAACTCTATAAAAGTTTGATTACCAAGATACGAACTGTAAACATTTGTGGAAGTACAAACGTTGGTTGGTACCTGAGAAATTCGACTACAAGAGCGACAACCTTGAGATATATAAGAGATTTTATGAGATATCACAAACAAATATTACTTTGTTTGTGATATCTTATCTTTTTATCACGTTCGGTAACGTTTGAAAGTTAACGCTTCTAAGGGCATAGTACGTAAAGCATGTAAAAATAAATGTTAGGAAATAAAAGTCATATTTAGCAACGTTAAACAGTTAAACCTACAGAGGAATTTTTTTGTTATATAGAGTGTTTACCAGGTCTGCCAACTCTGTTCAGGTAAGGAAGGAATTCAAAAAAAATGTTAGGAGTTACGATTACACGGAACTTATACAGAATACAAGTTATGTTTACAGTGTTTTTCATTCTTCAATTGTCAATTGTAATGTTTTATTCAGATATATTTCTTATTTTTCTGTTTTGTAATTTTTCATTTTGTAGTAGAAAAGTACCTAATATTCAACAGAATGAATAAGTATTTTTCGTTAGTCTGTATGAAATAACAATAACACATCTAATTTATATTTATCTTTTACGTTCTTATAGTTTGAAAGATCTTATAAAAAGATTTATTTTACATTTAAGCAAAATTCAACGAATATTTTATATATTTTATAAAACGTTATTTCTTGTAGAAAGCCGAAGATAACCAAACACCACATGGCAATGAAGGAGTCAAGAAACCAGGAATTTCAGTTTATAAATCATACATCAATGCCGGAGCTGGACTTTTCTTCAAGATTGTTATTTTATCCACGCTAATTATAGCGCAGTCCTTTACAAGTGCCAGCGACTATTGGCTAATCAAATGGTATGATATTATTATAATTAATGTATACTTTAACACGTGAACTGTGTTTACTTTTAAAATATTCAGTGAAAACATCATTACATTATGTAAGCCACATTCAATTCAATATGTTAACAAGTGTCAGATATAATAAATAGAGAAATTTTGTGAGTTGCAGTGAATATATTTTTTATATTTCTAAATATTGCCATACACATATTATAACTCAACCTTCAAAATTTAATTATAAAATGTTTAAATTTATATATATGTATTTAATATAAATATTTTTAAAAGAGTTTATGCATATTGATTTTAAATGTATAACTTAAACATATATATTTCTTTTTGAATTGTAAATTTAAACGTTAAACGTTAAATTAAGAAAATTTATTTATTACTTTTGTGAAGAAGACATTTTTTCTCTTTGTAGTTGTGGAAAAGTTTGAGATATTTTTTCCACAAAATAATAATAATAATCTCATCTTGACTACAATGCTTCATTAATACAATGGTCTATAAGAACTGGAACAAGATCTTACATAATTTCTTGTTTCAGTGCCAAGGACTTTAGCAATAGATTCTAACGTCTGTTTTTCTTAGCAGATTCTTATCACATTGAGAAAATGTCAATGTGTGGTAAATATTACTGAGTAATTCCAGGCAAAAGTAATCTTCAATAGAATTGATCGGATATGTAAGAGATTGAGATGTCGTCTACATTATACATCTTACGGTAAATAATGGGAGTTTGGCTTAAATTTCCACTGTAATCATTTTACGTGTTTATGCGGTATATTAACTCATCATCATTCGATAAATGTCAACATCGTTTATATGAATTTTCTTTTTATAATGCACTTAAGTAATTTAATTGTATTTCATTTTGTTAAAAAATAGAGAAATCGTTCGTTCAGAAAGGAATTTTGAAAAATTTGAATTTCTAAGATTTCTAATATCTTTTCTTGCGTCACGCTTCCTGCATATAAAAGGCAAGTCACTTTTAGCAGGTCATATCAAAATTTGTATAAAATGGAGAAAGATTAGACAGTACCGACACCAATCAGAAAATTAATTGTTTTGAAGTGTAAAGAAAGAGTTCCTCAATATTGAGGAACTCTTTTTTTACACTTCAGGGCAATTAATTTTCGCGCGAGATGTGTAGATAAGTCAGTATACAGTCCAATGAATTATAGAATGTTTACGAGAAAAGGGAAACACTCACCAGGGAAAGCTTTAGGAAGAAAATTACCTCTTAGTTTAATAAAATAAAAATTTAATTACAAATACTAGTTTTATCTTGCTTGCTTGCCATGTCCAATCACCTGGAACAACCATTCTTCACTGCAGTGATGACCTTTCTTTGTAGGCAACAGCTCTGCACAAATGTGTAAAATAGTCTAAAATGTCCACAGGTGACAATCCCAACACAATTAAAAATGTAACATTTTCTTCTAAAAAGGGCTGGCAGAAATTACAATGCAAATGGCAAAATAAAATTACAAATGGCAAGCAAGCAAGATACGATTAGTATTTGTAATGCAATTTTTACTTTATTAAACTGTAATTTCTGCCAGCCCTTTTTTACAAAAAAACGTTATATTTTTAATTGTGTTGGGATTGTCACCTGTGGACATTTTAGACTATTTTACATATTTGTGCAGAGCGGTAGCCTACAAAGAAATGTCATCTCTGCACTGAAGAATAATTGTTCCAGGTGATTGGACATGGCAAGCAAGCAAGATACAACTAGTATTTGTAATGAAATTTTTATTTTATTAAATTGTAATTTCTGCCAGCCCTTTTTAACAAGAAAATGTTACCTCTTAGTTTCTTTGGGCCAGAAATCGTCTGTAGTTAACAAACGCTGATTAGAAGAAAATAGGAAGGCCAGACGAAACAATATTTCTTGTTTAATCATCAGTCCATATAACTATAGAAAATATAGGCAAGAAATCTAACCCGGCGATGAATGCCCTGGGTTTCTGAGACCCAGCGCAAAATTTGCGAAAAAAAAATCCGTATTTTTATTATATTGCACTTCTGAAAAAAAGAGTCCCATGTAGATATTGAAAAGACAGGAAAACTGAATATACCTGTAAGAAGTGCANAAGCGGAGACGGAGTCCACTCGGCCGCCGGTGGGCCGGCAAAAGTATAGCTCAGCAAAATTAACTAAATAAATGAAATTTTTCAAACTTGTGGAAATAATAATTGTGGAACGAGATTCAATAGTAACACTCCATATGTGAATAAAATCCACATTACATAGACTACAACTACGGAAAGTTTTGTATAAAGAATTGTTACCATGATTATAAGTCGGAAATATAAGCATCTTTGCCTAAAGAGGCTCTGAGCTTTTCTTTTTGCCTCGAACTTTTTTTCACTCTTACTGCTCAAAAGTGCTCTAATATTCAACCAAATTTTTGTAATTGCAGCGATATTAAGGGAGAAAGTAATACCCAAACCCTTTCTTTGTGACAATGCGTATTTTTTTGGTTTATTATCCTGGTCTCATTGCTTTTCTCAAAAATTTTGTAATTTTAGTCTTTGTAATTTGCACTTTGTTTACATGCTCAAACAGTTTAAACATAAAAAGGTTTCTTGGTAGACCACCGAGCTAGAAAACAATAAGAAAGTTTTTAGGAGTTAAGGAGGCAATTTAGGAATGAACAGAACACAGACAATAAAATCACATTAGAGACCAGTACAGGATCGAACGCGACACTTTATTTATTTATTTTATTTATTTATGAAAGGTGGGGAACTCCTGGTATCACTCATAGGTACGACCAGGAGGGGAATAGAAATGAAGGAAGAGGGAGAAATGCGAAGGATAGGGGATGAAAGTGGGGGCAGGAAGAGGAAGAGGTGGGATCCCACGGCGCATGCATCACATTTATTTACAAATAACCCAGAGTAAAAAATAATATATAAAGATACAAACCAAGGTTAGTACATACAATTATATACAGGATTTGGCGCGATAATAGCGAGACTAAATACAGAATGGTAAAGGAAATTGGTAGTTAACAAAATTTGAAGTTTACAACTATTTGGCGCGATGACATAAAATAATGGATTGCAACACAATGGTGAATGGTACAAACATACTTACAATAAGAGAATTACTACTAGAGTATAATTGACAAATAATGAAGTCAACCGCATGACAAGCGGTGGGGAGAACAAGCAAAGCAGTAAAACAGATAAAACAGTAGCATGTAGCGTGGCGAACAGTAGCATAACACTATGATACAGAAAGCCACAAGGAAGTGAAAGTCACAAGGTAACCGTTCCTGGGTACAATGAAGAAACACTGTTGAAGAGAAGTCCACTCAATCAGGATTTCGAACACTGTTGTTTGCGATGTGTAGACTGCTCGCTGGATTTAGTGCTGCCGTCACTGAGAGAAAGTCTGCTAGTTTATAATAAATGTCTTTGTTTTCAAGGAAGACGTTAAAAGGACAGAGCCAGCATATACTCTATGCTGAAGCCAGCATAGAGTACACTGCCAATAAGAATGTCACGGTTCTGGTTAAACAGCGTACAGTCAAAGAGGAAGTGACTGCTGTCCTGGATGGAAGTGCCATCACACTGACAGATGTCTTCTAGAATATGAAACCTCTTGAAGTTGCCGTGACAGTAAGCAACTGGGTCATGGCAAAAGAAAGAGAGAAGTGTCTCCACTGAAGGCGCTGGGTGATGTTAGGGATGAAGTTGAAAGTCGTCCTGCCGGTGGTGCTGCTATCCCATTCCTGTTGCCATTGGTGGATTGCAAGCTAGAAGTTCCAGTGCTTAATTTTAGAAGGTGGGATCTTGTCGTAGCTAGACGGGAGGGAGGAGGCTGCAACAGATTTAGCGAGGCTGTTGGCGGCTTCGTTGCCTGCTACACCCGAGTGGCCACGTACCCATTTAAAATGTACATTGTGGTTATGCGTGTTAGAGGCAAGATGACGATGGATTCGAAGAACATTATCGCCTCTGCGTTGGAGGCCACTAATGTAGTGGATGGCAGTGATGCTATCGGTATAAACGATGATGGTTTTGTTACGGGGGAACCAATCAGTGAAAACGTAGTCGAGTGCCTTAGTAATAGCAAGAATTTCCGCTTGGGGGACGGAACAATGAGGACCTAATTTGAAGGCAGACTTATGAGTGTCGCCGTTTTGATGTTAATAAGAACGAACGCTGCCCCCACATTCTCGTTGTCCTTGGACCCATCGGTGTAGATGGAGATGTCACAGGTATCATCATGAGGAAGGGTGTAACTGCTGATGGTAGGGTAGCCTACTGTCATATTAGAGTTAGCATCCTTCACCTCGATACCGTAGGATTTGATATCTTCCTTTACTTGCTCAGGGAGATCAAAGTATAGTATTATTCTTATTGGTGTTGCAATGGTAGTTGCTGGTGCATAAGTTGTTAATGTTCCAGATCCTGGCTGCCATTTTGGCTTTTATGTGGACAGGAAGCAGACCAGCAATGACCAGAAGGGCAGAGGTCGGGGCCGTCCGGTAAGCCCTGCAGATCCTAAGAGCTGCAATGCACTGGGCCTTAGAAAGCTTCCTTTGAATGTGAATTTTCTGTGCAGCCTCCGCACAGATCGGAGCCTCATAGAGCAAAATAGGTTCAATTGCTCCTAGATAAATGTATTTGGCTGCTTTGTACCCAATGCCCCAGGTATTCTTAGCGATAGAAAAAAGGGCGTTTGATGCCTTAGTTGCTTTCGAGACCACCATGTCAATGTGGCTGGACCATTGTAGTTGTTGCTCGAGTTTAACACCTAGGTATATAAATTCCTTGACACGGGAGATTTTGACACCATTGATCTCAATGCGTGGGCTTCTCTGTAGCGGAGTGTTTTTAGAAAAAATTATATAGCAGCACTTCGAATAATTGATGGGGAGCTTGTTTTTGTCGCTCCAGCTGAAGACCTTTGTTAGGAGATTATTACATAGGATGGGTAAATTGCCAGAGTTCTTGTCAGAGACAAGAATAACTGTGTCATCAGCATAGCCTTGGATAAGATGGTTGTTGTCATTATCATTATTAATATTAGATAGCAGATCGCTGTGGACGATAGTCCATAGGCCCGGACCGGAGATTGACCCCTGTGGACAGCCCTTGGTGACATGATGGCAGTGACTAATGTTGTTCACAAAAAGGCCAGCCTTCCTGTCGTTGATAAAGCTTTTGATCAGATGGAATAAGTTTCGAGGACAGTGGTGAACCTGGAGCTGTTGCAGGATTGTGGGCCACCAGAGGTTGTCGAAGGCTCCACGGAAGTCGATCGAGACTAACAGCGTGTGCTTCCTTTCAGCTTTGGCCTGGGTGATGTACTCTGTGATCTTGGTGAGAGCCGTAGTGGTGGACTTCCCAGGAGTAAAGCCATGTTGATGATGGCTAAGGGCATTCTTTCTTCTTAGGTAGGATAGGATCCTGGTAATAACTAGCCTATCTAAAACCTTGCCCATGATTGGGAGCAGGCTGATAGGCCTATAGTCTTTCGCAAACTGTGGGATTTCATTCTGGCGTTTCCTAATAAATTTTACTGATGCACATTTCCAATAACGAGGGAAATAACCCAAAGTTAGGCAGCGGTTGTATAGTGTGACGAATGTTGTTGGAATGGCGAGGAACACCTCTTTGACCATTTTTCCAGTGATATGATCCATACCAGGTGCCTTTTTGTTGTTGATAAGGTTAATTGCATGATTGACTTCTCTGTAAGTAAAGGGTCGATCATCTTCCTGGTTGGTTGGTTCAATCGTGCTGTTACGGGTCTCTGTTTGGTCCACGGTGTCGTCCTCAGGGTCATCGAGAGGAAAGTGGTACTCAAACAATTTCTTTTGAGTATTCTCCAGGGAATTGGTATAGGATCCCTCGTTAGTCTTAACAGCCATAGGAATATCCACCTTGTCTCTCCTTTTGAAGGCAATATAGTATGAGTCACCCCAAGGTTCGTTAAACCGACTGCAGAATTGCCTCCAGGCTTGATGCCTCTTTTTATTAATTAGGGTTTTGTAATTATTAAAGTTGGCAGTGTATTCGGGCTTCTGGGTGAGCCTGATTTGCTCGTCTGTCTGGTTTTGATAGCGTTTTCGAAGAGTACGGACATGCTTACGGTGCCTCGCTAGTTCCCCATCCCACCAAAGGGCATTGGTCTTTGTTTTGGTCCTCTTCTTGCTGGCCAGTTGGTAACAGTTTAGTATAAGGTTAGTGAGATTCTGGATGCAGTTGTCAATGTCCCTTTCGTCCATTTGAATAATAGGCATATTAAAGTTCCAGTTGTCTTGAATAAGTTGTTGGAAAGAAGTCCAGTTGGTGTGGTGGTACATGGTGGTGTTGACAGTATCCACAATATCAAACTGTAGCTCGATCTTGATGTACCTATGGTCACTGGCACTCGGCTCTGTCATCGTTGAGCAGTTGGAAACATTTGGTGCCATATAAATATTTGCCAGGGTAACATCAATCCAGCTTTTACCTCTTGTGAAATAGAATGTGGTGAGGGGGCTGGTGTTACATGAGGTCATGTACAGAGTTGCTACGAACTCTTGCATACGAAAACCCCTGCCGTCTTCGACCGGGCTGTGCCATAAGAACGATTTGGCATTTGTGTCCCCACAAATCAGCCAAGGTCTATCAGCGACTATCTTACTGATCTGATCCAGGTCATCTAACATAGGCTCGATGTCCTGGTACGGTGAACAATAGATTGAGAAGATAAATATGCTTCCATGGTTAATTATGATAGAGCAGGTGGTGACATAAGTAGTGGAGAGGTGCGGCAAATACTGAACAGAAAGGTGTTTATTCCTAACCAAAATTGCCGTTTTAAAATTGCCCTTAGATCCCCTGAGTGGGAAAGATGTCATGCCAGAGTAACTAGTGAGCTCGCCTTTGAAGAGGTAAGGTTCTTGGACCACAATGAGATCAGAATTCCAATCTTCGGCTGTTTTATTTAATAGGGAGGAAGGGGCCTTGGCCCGCTGTAAGTTAATCTGTAGAATTGATATATTCCTTTTGGTATGGCTGTTACGGTTAGAAGCATGAGTTGTAATTAGGTTATGAGCAGTAGTAGACAAACAAGAAGAATTAGGTGACCTAGGAGTATGTAGTGGCTGGTTACAATCCATAGTTGGTCTGTTTGATAGTCTGGGTCTTCATTCTTATTGTAATTGGACAGCGAGGGTTAAAGGCATTGTGGTCTGTGGTATATCTGTCTTGAACTGGAATATCTTTATTGGCCTCCTTGCAGTTGGTGCAACAAGAAGTGTGGTCAAGCCTCTTACATTCCCCAAACCTGTGTCCCTTGGCACAGTGGCTGCACCTCTGCTTGTTTGGGCAGTTGGCCGAAATATGATTATACCCGCAACACTGGAAGCATCGCACCAGTGGGATATAATCATTAACAAAAATATTGGCCCATTGAATAGCTATATGTTTAGTACGTATCAGGGAGTCACGTAGCCTAGGTGTTGTAGACAAGACGATGTGCCTGCAGTTTTCTTTAGTACTGTTTCTGTGCAGGATTGTGCTTACCCTTGTATTGTCGAGAAACTCCTCTTTGGTGGTAGTGTGTAGAAAGTCATTTTGTTCGTACATTATGGGGAGAATTTCAGCCTCGTCAAGAGTGATAGGTACGTTGTTAAGAATTACTCTGGGTCTCCTTCCCTCAGATATCTTGCTTTTGATTTTACTTTGAATTTCTGGAAGCTTTTCAATGGCTTCCGCTAAGACTTCGGCCTCCTTGTGGCTATTTGTTCTGAAACAAATGCCATTCCCCTTTACTTTTCTCACTGCTTTAACTTTCACTTTGAGCTCATGTGGTTTTATCTTTTTCATAATTTCACTTTCAATGAGTTGCATGTTAGTAGTGGAATTGTTGCCCTCCTCGTCAGTTTTTGGGTACAGAAGCAGAGCAAAGCTTTTGCCAGAGTCTTCGTTTTCTAGTTTGTTTCGGAGAGATTTGTTTATTCTCCTGGTTGTTGAGGTAGGTTTCATATTCATCCGGGTGATGTCTACATAAGTGGTAGCCGGAACAGCCTGGGCTGTTGGCGGAGAACACTTGGGGTGGTTGGATCTGACCTCACGCAGGATGCCTTGGAATTGACCAAGGCAAGAGAAAAGGCGAGTAAGCCTTTCCCGAACTTCCTTGCGCTCCTTGGTGGGTATACTCGATTTGTAAGACTCTGGCACTAGGTCTAGAATTCTGACAAAGTGCTCATTGGCCTCTGCGAGAATAGTTTCCTCGAGGGAATTGACAGCGTCCCGAGGTACGGTAACACCTTCCATATTGAAGATACAAACAGTACAGAACAATGTGTATAGTCCAAGCCACTTAACCGATGCGAGAAGTTAATACAAAAGTCCCCAACGGAGTAGCAACAGTACACAGTACGCCGAACAGCTACAGCACGTCGAGTGGCTACCTCCACCACGTGGCAGGGAACGAGGCCCTTTGTTCAGAGTGAAAAGGTGCACCTTCGCCACTGCAATATAAGGAAACGAGTCGTGTTTCCGCAGTTGATGAGTATCTCACCGTCAAAATAATTATATTTATAATTATAATAACATATCAAAGAGTCTATACCCGCAGACAAAGGAACGAAATAAAGAGCTGAACACGTGGGAGAACTTGCCCGAAACCGAAATTTCGGGCCTCGAAAACTCGAACGAAAGTCCACCGAATAGAAAAATAACAATACTCACTGAGAGCGCTTGTCCTCCTGAATTCAGCGATAAGTAATTTACACCTCCATAATACACTTTATATCCAAGAAATCGCAATTAAACACGGAGCACATATACAACACCACTTAACACTTCCGACCCCTAGCAGTCTCCCCTCGTGATCCGAACGCGACACTTACAAAACCTATATAAATAAACCAAGGACTAACACTTGGCAGGATTTCTGTGCTAACACTCGCGGTTGCAACCCCTGGCCTGAACCGTACTACTTAGCTTGTAAGGAAAAACACCAGCTCCAAGCCCCTCACTAACCATTTCCCTAATAGTCGTTACACATACAACATGGAAGAAACAACCACTCACATCCTCACCAGCCTTTATCGTTCAGATGA